GAGCAGGCTGTGGAGGACTCAGGGGGTGAAATCAGGTGAACTCAGGATGGATGCTCGGGGAGGAATGGCGGTACAGAGGGCCCAGGCAGATTTCAATGCCTGTAAAAGTGAGGCTCCCTGGAGCTGGGGGTGCTGCATTCCAGATGCAAATGGAGCAGAAAGCAATCAGACACGGTGGGTGAGGGTTTTTGTTATGTGGGCCCCAGGCTGATTCTCTTTCCTCAGTAGTTTCATTAACAGTGTGGTGGATCTTGTGGGGAACAGCAGAAAGAGCCCTGGATTTGGAGTCTGGAGACTGGGTCCACTCCTAGGTGGGGGAAGCAAGGGACCCCTGGGCACGACCAGCCCCAGTGTGGCAGAGGTGGGCAATAACACAATAACACCCCCCCCCCCGCGAGCTGAAGGGGCGGGCAGGGTGGGAGGGTGCTTGAGTGTTCTGGAAATCACAAATCATTAGCCATTAGCTTCCGAAGGCTGACTGCCCTGTGCCTCTGCCGTCAAAGGCAAGGGTTGTCCTGTGGGGTTTAAACCTCTGCTGCTATTGCATTTTCCCCAGCTAGAAAACCCGCTGGAAGGTCAGGAGTGCCAGTGTGGGTGGGGAGTTGGTCCCCCCCACCCCCCACTGTCACCTTGTCTGAAGCCCCACTGTTTTGGGGTACATCTGGGCCCTTGCCAGCAGCAGCCAGAGTTTTAGTATATTCTGCTGGAAAGTCAGTCAGAACCTGGTGATGCTACTGTGCTTTAGGAGAGTCTACTGTCAGAAGAGGTAGCACAGTGCTGTGGTTGAGGATACAGCCATGGAGCCTTTGCCAGGGTTCAAATGTCTTTCCATCTCTAAGTCTCAATTTCCTACCCGTTAGATGGTACCAATCCCTTACAGGGCTGGGGGAGTCAACATGATAATGCACAGGAGACAAAAATCCACGGCTGGTGTGTGTGTGCATGGCTGCTAGCAAGAAAGTGTTCATTTGTACTTCATTCATTCTACTGATGTCACCAGGCACTGTGCTGCACCCAGAAATGAAGAGAGGCGGGAGGGCTTTGCCCTTGGGGAACCCACAGTCTTTAGGTAGATGCAGAAAAGCAGACAGACCACCCTGGTACTGGAGTAACAGAGGCTTTGCAGAGGCCAAGTGGATGACAGGGGAATACAGCTAATCTTACATGGGGACACTGGGACATGTACACAGAGGGGCTGTGGCAGGGCTGCCTGGGGAGGAGCCCATGGAGGAAGCAGATTCCAGGGAGACATGACAGCAAAATGAAGCCCTCGCAATGCGTTCTGGGGACTGCAGGGAGCTTGGGGGTGCAGAGACAGAGACAGGGACATGGCAGAGGGGACTCAGGTCCCATCCATCCAGTTTCCCAGGGCAAGTGACACCAGGGAAGACTGACAATAAAACACACCATTGTGGGCATGAGATTCAGCACACCAGAAAATGAACATCTTGTATATTTGTCTGTCATACTCCTTCACCATTCTGCAAACACCAAGCATCTCCTAGATTCAGGAGGGCATGTCAGTCCTCGTCAACATGGGACTCACCTGCAGGGCAGGTGCGCACAGGACAGTACTAGACACAGAGGACAAGGATGCGGCTGAAGTGGAGCCTAAGAGCTAAGTCATCAGAACAGCAAGATCAGGAGGGGCCTCAGCCAGGGCTTAAAGGAAGTTACATGGCTGAGATGCAAAACTGCCTTGACTTGCAGGTTCCCACCAGGGGGAGATACTGAAGTTTAATAAACCCAGGCATTTGTTCATCGGCTGCCTGCTTTGTAGAATGCCTACATGACAGTGGCTACAAGCTGGGGACTCCCTGGGTGTTCTGGAACAAGACTCTGCTAAGGGTTGCAAACTCAACAGATGAGCAACTGTACTGAAAACAGACCTTCAGGCCTGTTGCATGGGGGAGTGCTGCAGATCCAAATGTCCAGCCACCACAGTGCAATTTGCTCCATAAATGGGAACAAGCACAAATACCAACTTCACGCAGCTGCTGTAGAGTTTAAACCAGTCCCCATGTGTTAACACTGGGCGGAGCCAAGGGACACAGGCAAGGTTCACAATTGGGAAAGAGCCGGAATTGAACCCAGGTGGCTGGATCTGAACTCCAGGAAGGCTGTCCTGTGGCTCTCCCGGGACCCTGGGAAGCCGGGGAGGTCGGGGGTGGCGGGGGGACTACTCTTGACAGCGCTGCTCTGGGGTCTGCAGAGCTTGACAGAGACACAGATTGACGGTAGAAGAAGAAACTCTTTTGCAAGCTCAAGCAATACACATGTGAAATAGTGACATACAGATTTTGAGAGCCATGTTAATTCCTCTGATGTGTGACACTGATACTCATTTGTACCATAAGTGCATAGTATGCTGTGGGGAAGCAAATTAGATGAAGTTGTTTTGGGAACACCAGGTAGCACTGCATGGCACTTCTGGATAGAATGGTCACGTGGCAAAAACACTGTGTCACGGGGGGAATAAAGGATGTAAGCACACGGCCCCTCTCCATGTGCTGGCACATGTATGATTTGTTGATTAGCAGAGAAGCTCATGTCCCTGTGCTCTGGCTCTGGGGAAATCTTCTGGAGATGCAGCCTCCCTCTCCTGTTGGGACACAGTCTAGGCCATTAGTGGACCAGCTGCCTCTGAGAGTGGCTAATCCTAAATGAAAAATCATTCGTCATCAGAAGTGTAGCATGTACATGAGTCACAATTTGTGTGTTCCAGACCCATCTACCCAACTGCGCAATTGCCAGCTCGAGCACAGGCCCTGCAGTGCTCACGTTGTCGTTCATCTGACCTCACTGCCTATCATGTGCTCCCCTACTAAAATGTAAGCTCTGAAATATAAGCCACTTGGTCACAGCTGTGTCCCCAGCCCGCCCCCCCCCGGGGGGGGGCGGTCTCGGTAAATACTGACTGAATGGAACCAATCAAGAAATGAGCAGCTGGATGGTAATCCAAGCATCCTGAAGCCCTGGCAACCCCATCTCTGACCCTCTCACCATCCAGGGAGCGTGGCCTTCCCCACCTGTCCTCTGCCCCTCAGTCACCTCCTAGGGACTTCTTGCTGTGGTTCCACCACCCAGGCTGTCCTACCTAGCTTTCTCTGTGACCCCCCCACTGCACGGTGAGTCCTTTGATAGCCTGATTGTATCTTTTGCATCTGTGCATGCCCAGAGATGATGAGAGATCACTGTGGACCTCTTTTAAGACAGGACTGTCACCCCAGGAGAGTCTGGAAAGGCTGCCGTCACTGTCCCCCGGGGCCAGGTTCCCTCTGCCAAGCCAGCCTATTCATCCCAGTGGGTCTGGTTACTAGCACAGTGTCCATGGCCCCTTGGACCCTTGGAGGACGACCCGAGCTCTCTCTCCAGCCAGCCAGCCTGGGCTCCCAGGTCCCAAGATCCAGTTTGGGAGGCCTCTTTGTTTTGTTTTTGGTACCAGGGATCGAACTCGGTTCCTTGTGCTTTCAAGGCAGGCGGCGGAACCACTGAGCTAAATCCCCGGCAGGGGGCCTGTTTTATTAAGCACATACTTATGCAGGGGGAGGCAACCTCATAGGACACGAACTGGGTGGCTTTCTCACCTCCCGATGCACTCCAGACTCCGAGGAATGAACTTTTATGGACAATTCCAAATCATAGCATTGGTAGAAACTCATGAGGAACATGGGTCAGACATGATATTAGGTTATTAAATTCGTGTCTTTGCAGCAATAGCTCCAGTTCTTTCAATTCCTCACAGGCTCACAGGCACAATTAACAGTCTTGAGCTGGCAATGCTTTTGTTCCCAGGACAATGTTGTCAGGGCAGAAGTGTGTGACAATTTTACATGTATGGAAATGACGCCGGGAGAGGGGAGAGATGGCAGAGCTGGCAGAGAGTAAGACAGCAGTCTGGGTTCTCGCTGTGATTCTTGAGCACAATTCTTGAGCATGCATAACTGGTGCCCCTCCTCCTATAGGCGGTCAGGAAAGACTACTGATGTTAGATCTACAGGGAGCCCGGAAGGCTATGTCTGTAGGGCTGAAAGCTGTCTGGTGAGTACTCAGTGCCAGAGAGAGGCGGCTGGCCACCCACCTTTGCTCTGTCCTGGCTTCCTGGGAAGGGGTCCCCCAGCCTTGCTCCCACCTACGGCAACCTGCTCATTCCTAAAGTCCAGTCCAGAGCACAGAGTCACGTCCATTAGGGGACATCACACGCAGCTCACTGACGGGCAGCTGTGACTGAGCAGCTTGTAGGGTTTCAGGCCACGTTCAGCTACACTGTCATTTTCCTCGCCTTGAAGGGACACTGCATCATCGTTTGTGGGTCACGATTTGATCAGAAAAGCTGGATTAGTGTTGTGTTTTTTTTGGTGCAGGGGACGGAACTCAGGACCTCGCACTTGCCAGGCAGGCACTGTGCCACTACATCCTACATCCCCAGCCCTCGAATTAGTTTCTTTTAAAAAAGATAGTGAGGGCTCTGCTGCATTCTTCAGGGGACTGTTATTAAGAGGGGCTCATATTTCTTCCCAGAGGGAGTAAAACATTTTTCGTCTTCAGTGGAAGGACAGACTGAACGTGAAGAAACGTATTCCGGAGGTGGCTCTTTACAGCGCCTGTACCAGGCAGAGGGACCCAACTCCAGAAGTCCTTTATTGCTTCAAGATCCTCAGAAGTGGCCTAAAAGAGCTCGAGACTTCTGTGGATGGGTCAGCACCGTCTCTTTCCTTTTTGTGCAGTTCCATCGACAAACATTTGTATTTATTATACATCAGGTCCTATATAAACCACTGAGATCCCATCAATAAAACCTGGCTACATTTTTTTTAAGCAATTCTGGTCGTAGGTTAAGTGCAATGCTGGTGGAGGCCAAGCTTTCAAAACAAATACTATTCTGCTTCTGCCTCAACTCAAGTCCTCTAACACCTAGTCCCCAGTGCCACCCTTCCCTGCACCCGCCCCCCTCCCGATGCTCCATTTTCCTGACCACCAGTGGACGAGGCGGCCTTTACCTCTCAGCTGCTGGAAGCAGGAGGCACTGCTGTCTGGCTCCAGGGGGTGCCGCAGGACCCCATTGCTGGGCTTGGGCCTTTCGTATTCTCTTTCGGGGAGCATGGCCTGCTCGCTCTCCATGGCAGGGTCTGCGTTTGGAGGCAGGGACTGTGGGAACCCGAACATCAGGAGGGAAGAGAAGAAGAGTAAGGCACCGCAGAGCAGAAAGCCGCCCCACCAGGCTCCAATCCAGCGGGGGTCGTCCGGAGTGATGTCCAGGTTGCCTGCAGAGGAAAGGAGCACACCTCAGTGGGACGGGACATGGGACAGGCGGGCTGTGGGATTTGCTGAGGACTTGAATCTGCTGCATGGAGAAGCCAAGGGCTCCAGGAATGGGCTGGGGTGGGGGGACTAGCCATCAGGCTAGGAAACCTATCCGTTCTACATCAGCACTCCTGTTTCTCCCAACGCCGGAGACTGACCATGTTCCTGCTTTCATTCTGTCTACCCTGGGTTTATATCAGTCTAAACAAAAACAGTCTGAAGCCAGACAGCCTCTGAATTTAGGCTGGAATTGGCTAGCTTAGTAATACTGCCAAGGTGTACTTGTGAAAACACAAGGAAACACTTATTGTTCAAGGGTAGATTTTTTACTAGGTATAGTCACTCTCAACTCCCCCAAAGAAGCTAATCTGAAATCCCATTCAACACCCCCTCTCTGTCTTAAATCAGGCTCACTGTTTAAAAGGACAGGTACAGAATAGAGGTCAAGAACATGAAGCTGGACCTGATAAACATCCTGACCGCCTAGGTTGAAGTCCTGCCCCCTTCTCTCTGTGGGACTTTAGGTCAGTGTGTTGAGCTATCAATGCCTCCGGTACTGATTTGTACCACACTGACTAGGATGACAGCGCTTACCTTATAGTCAGTGAGACGATCTCGTGAACCAGCCCAGACGTAAGGTGCTCAGACTAGTGCCTGGCATGTGCTTGAGCCCTCAGTGGAGGGGGCTTGTTATTTATGACTGCAGCCCTCTATTTACAAGCTAGTTCAAACATTGTTGGTGGTCTGTGGTTTGGCATCAGCCCGCTTTCCAAAAGTTTTGCAGCCAACCATGTGCCTAAAGGCACTATGCATGTGGTTTGCAGGCTTATACTCTTCTTTGATTTGCCAGCTGAAGTCATGGGAACATAACCTACAGCTTACTCCTTGGCATATTTCCTTCTCTGTCTATACAGCTGCCTTGCAAAGCACATTCCCGGATGAGCTGCTTAGAAATGTCTCTCTGAGGATAAATAATACTCTTGGAGCCTGGAAGAAGATTCTTGGAGACCTGGGAAATAGCACGTGAGTTAAGACCAACAGCACTCCAGGCCTGGACCAGATGGATGGACAGTTCTGGGAAGAAGAATGACTGCAGACACCAGATGAACGCTTCCCGTTTATAAAATGCCCTCCCTAAAGACTCTTCAGGCCACATTAATGATAATGCCACCATCATTTATGGAGGGCTTCCCTCCGCTCCAGGCAATATGCAGGGCACATTCTTAGCTGCTCCTTACAACACTACAAAGTAGGGGCTTTCATGATCCCTATTTTGCATAGACGATAAAACAGGTCAAGTTCTTTGGCCAAGTTCACAGAATTAAAGGTGGAGCACAGGCATGTGCACACCAAGGCCCACGCTCCTAGCTATGCTGTTGCTCTGGATCATCTGGATTTGCTCTGCTCCCCCCTAGGCCCTGGGTAATGATGAGTTTGTGCTTTGTACAATGTACCTAAGATGAGCAGCTGTTCCGGTAGGTGGCAGGTTGGCTTTGTTACACTGATCTCAGTCCTGGAGACCCTGACATAAGCACTAACCATGGTATACAAACGACCAGATGCTTTAGTGTAACCGGATGCTGGAGAAGAGCGTGTGTGAGCCTCAGGGGTTGGGGCTGAATCCCAGTCCTGCCATTTACCAGCCTTATCACTCCCTGAGCCTTAGTGTCATCATCTGCAAAATAAAGATGGCATCCCTTTTGAGTAGCTGCGAGGAGAGATAATGAGCAAGAATCCCCTGTCACATAGTAGGGTCTTCATTTATGGCAGCTCTTATTATTTTTATGATTTTACATAGATCAACAGGAATTTCAATGGACAGATTTTTACACAGGGTCTGGCATGGGAAAACACAAGGTGATCTTGAAAGCATCTTTATGCAAATAAGGGATAAGGAAAGGAAGTAAGATTGCCTCTGGTAGCTGCAGAGGAATGTTTTCACTCATCACTTTCTGTGTCTCTTTACCTGCTGCCAAGTAATAATGAATGGAAACAAAAGCCAGCAGAAGGCTGCTCAGCATTTCCCTCCATTGTCTATGGGCTCCACAAAGGGGGACTGAAGAGTTGGCAGATGTGAGCGAGTGAAGACAGAGAAATCCTCAGATGTGAGCGAGCGAAGGGAGAGCAATCCTAGCAGTTGTTGGGAGAAACAAAATTAGTGATGTGTAGAAAGTCACAGGCAGTTAGCGACTCTGCTGTATGTGAGAGTAAACATCCCAGGGAGAGGGGTGTGGTGGGGAAGGCAGGCGCTGTTCGTGTAAATGTGTCAGCTTGCTCCCTAGAGGTGCATATGTGTGCATGGGAAGCTGACATTGAAAGCCAGGGAAGAGGGCATCACCTGGGTCAGAACCAAGGGACACTTGACACTTGGGCAAGACCAGGGGAAGGGGTCTGCAGGGAGGGGAGCTGAGGACAGGATTCTGCAGATCCAGGAAAACCACAGTTGGCCCATTTGGGAAGATATCAATTTTTTCCCTCCATTTCAATGATCCTGAGCAGTGTGGCAGGGAGAGAAATAAGAAGCTGAGGAAAAACTCCTCAGCGCTGGAGCATGCTGCCTCAGAAGAGGCCAAGCCAGTCTGAGAAACTTCTTTTCTCTACCCATCTCTATGAGAAATAGTATTTTTATGAGACATTTTGGCTAGTTACAGTGAAAATCTCCCTCCACTTGGCTGACAATTATGAACACTCAGTGTAGAATATTCCAGAAAGACTTATGTTGAGGAAGAGTCCTCCATGTGGGCTGGCAAAGAACAGTGTGGTAGAGGTCACCAATGCCAGCATTTGGATTCTGGGGACAAGGAGGGCTCCACCTCTGAGAAGTTAAGTGTGTGAGTTTTGTCCATGAAATGCGAGCAGAGAGGACTTGTGTCATTTCTTTCTGAAGTATGTATGAGCTGGTGGGTGACTCTCTTAAGTTTCTTCCTTTTCAGATGGTCCCTGACAGGTTACATGATGAACAAAGTAACCCCCACTGGCCTCACTGGATGTACAATATGAACAAGAAATAAGCCTTTTATCTTCTAAGCCACCAAGAATTTGGGGGTGTCTGTTACTAACACTTGATGTAGCCTATCCTGACTAGTAAAAAAGGCTTGGGAAATACACATTCCTGCTCTGTACCCATAGTGGTCCCAGAAGGGGTTGGGATGGTAAAAGTATTGTTTTAGGCATAGCTGGAGCACAAGGCTTGAAAACTTCCTTACTTCTTTTTTCTTTTAATCTGGTTCGTATCTTGACTTCATAAAGATCACTGTAGTTTCAGTCCTTTAGTGAATGCTGCTGTGTCAGTAGGATGTCCAGAACAAAAGTGAAAAGCACCAATTTGTCTCATTCACTTAGATGCATTGAACTGACAATAAAACCAGGCACATGGATGAGGAAAGACGAATACAGAGGGGTCAAGATCTTTGGCTAAGGGGACAGCCCAAGCAAAGGCATGACACCCCCAGGGACCTCTGAGTGGACAAGTAAAGCTCCACCAGCCACGTGTCTACCCCTCGGTCCTTCCAGACACTAGCAAATGGGCTGTTTTTGCTTTGGGGTGAGCTTGCTAGGAGGACAATGAGCATAGAGCACAAAGGAGAGCTGTGCACTGGGGCGCCACGATGGGATGGCTGCCTGCCATGAGCCAGGCACAGTAGGTCTGCCTTTGCCTAGGTGCTGATGGCACAGAAAGTCTTTCATACAAGATCCATTTTTGTGCTCACAGCCAGAGGTGCACCGGTGAAGAGCGGAGGCGCTTGGCTGCCTGCAGCACCAACCCAGTGTCCCCCGCCCCCGCCCAGCCTCTGGCCTCCTGGTTGTGCCTGTACCTGGATCCGCACCCCAGAGGCACAGTGGGGGTCATAAAGGCCATTGTCCTGAGCTTCAGAAGATAGAGCAGAAGTGGACAACAGATTGAGGGCCTCTCTCAGGCTCCTTCATGAAAACTGAAGCCCAATGGAAAAGTGAAGAGAATCTCTGCAATAAAGGCATACCAGACCACCATGCTTGGTAAGTTGGAGGGATCATCACCTCCCATTGGAACCTGAACTATCTTCAGCGGAAAGGCAGCTGGAACCTGCAGTAGAACCTTGTAGAATTCAACCCTGCAGGAGGACAGGGAGCTCACCTTGGGCTTTGCAGCCAGAAATCAACTTGAATCTCAGGGGTCTGCTGCTGGCTTGCTGAGACTCATTGACATATAACTGCACACTGCTGCCCACATTGTCTATTGTGACAGAAGAGACATACCCTGAAGGAGGTCCTTCATTTTTAAAATTATTCTTTCAAAATTATTATTTTTTTATTTTTAATTTTTAGTTTTTTTCTATTCTTTTCAAATTTTTTTCTTCTTTTTCTTTTCTTTCTCTCTTTCGCTGACTCTCTCGCTCTCCACATTGTTCTTCATCTCCCTTTTTATTCCTGTTCCTGTACTAATTTGGATTTCTTCTTTCTTTTTCTTTTCTTCTCTCTTTTTCCTTCTCCCGATTTGTCATTAGTTTCAAAGGAAAGTGAATACAGTTTCTAGCTTCCCTATTGCTGATCGATTGTTCTGTCCTTGTCTTTGTTCTTTAATTCTGTCTTTTCCTCTTGTCTTCAACAGTTCCCTAGAGTCTGCATGATCTTCCTGTGTCCTCTGACCTTACTTCTAACCTTTCCCTATCCTTCTACCTATCTCTCCCTCCCCAACTTCTTCTGAGTCCCAATCCCTAAGGGTAAAGTTATTATATTGAAGAATTTATTCACTTATAAACATATTTTGGGCCGGTCCTCGATTTTGATTTAATTCATATGGTGGAAAGTGATAGATTAATAACAACCACAAATTGTCATTTTCTAAGCTGAACTTTATACTATTGTTATAGCTGATTGTATCACTTGGGCTAAGGTGTTGTGATTGATCTAATCAGTTGTCCTTCTGGTATAATGAAAATGAGATTGCCCCAGAGTCATTAGAGACTCAAAACCTTAAGAC